ACTCTCAACTTTCCATTCGCTTTCCTAACACACACAATGGGCGCTGCCCATTCACTGTGTGTCACTGAACTTATGACGCTTAGCTCCAACAGCCTATCAAGCTCCTTTTCGACAGCTTCGAGCGCAGCATGGGGGACAGGCCTGCAAGCTTTGAACACTGGGCGAACATTTTCGTCAACTCTCATGTGAGCTTTCTCCTTTGTGCAGCGTCCTAAACCTTCTTTGCAGACTTCTGGGTAGGTTTCTTTCAGCTTCTGAGCGATGTCATTGTTTTGTTTCAATTTCACTTCGGCAGCCATCCTGCTCAAGTGATAGGACATTTCTTCGTTCTTCTGAATCCACTCCAGTCCTAGCAATGAGTTGTGAGGTGTCACGTATGCGTAGCCTTCGCTCCTAGATCCTTTGATCTCATACCTACACCATAGCTTTCCATGAACTTTCATGGAGCCTCCGCTAGCATTCTTGACGATCACGCTAGTTTTTTCCAACTGTGGAGTGCCCATGCTTCTCCAAACCGCTTCGTTTAGCAAGGTGATATCTGATCCTGTGTCCAGCAGAAAACTAACTGGATGGCTATTTACTTTCGCTTTCACATATACGCGAGTTGAATTCACTTCCATCATCGCGTTCGCAATCTTCGCTACGCTGTGCACATGACGTTTCGGTTTCGTCCAACTTCTGTTCTTACTGGTATCGCTGCTTCTGTGGATTCTTCGTTTCGAATCTTGCTGAACAAGTGCTTTTCTGTCCTCCACTTGTTCGCAATACTTCTCCTTGTGACCTGTCGTTTTGCACTTTTTGCAGAACCATAGCTTCGCTTTGCATTCCCTGGCAAAATGAGCTTTCCCACAGTTCCAGCATTCCAGCTTCTTGGGTTCTTCCTTGCTTGTTGCTTCGACAATCTTCGTGCAACCAGCCACAGTTTCGCTATCCTTCTTGAGAGTAAGGAAGTTTTCGCACTCCAGATACAACTCCTGCAGCGACATTTTTCGTCCGGCCTTGTATTGCTTGTCCAGTACGGCTATGAGTCGCTGCCTGATTTCGGCTTCCTTTTGGCTCTTCAGGCCAAAAATCCATAGTAAGCATTTTATGCCATCGCTGTCCAAATCATGGATCTTCGCTTTTTCGCACAATTCGTTCACTCGACCGGTGTACAGGAGGTAATCTTCGGAATCTGCCTTCTCCAGTTTCAGACACTGGTACCGCATAGTGAATTCCGAAATTTTCACGTCGAACAGCTGCTTCAATGTTTCGACGGTTTCTTCGAAATTAATCGAGGTCACCTCCTTTGGTAACACATGCCTCTGGTATTTTTCGAAACTGTCCTTATCCAATTTTTCGCAGAGCAGCCTCACCCTGGCATTCTCTGTGAGCTGCTTCGCATCTTCGACGAAGACTTCCTTGTAGCGAGCGTACCATTTGCTGAAACATTCGTCGGCTTCTGGGTCGAAGTAGAACTTTTCGATCCGATTGCTTAGTGCGGACATCATGTTCGGAATCTCCGTCGAACTGGTCTGGTTCGTGCCTCCGATGTGCTTCAGGAACATCTCCATCATCTCCTTCCTCTCTTCTTTGATCATCTCCTTGAAGATCGTCATCATCTCCTGGACGTCCACTTTCGCCATGTCGATCGATCAATTCGTTAAGCTCTTCTCAGCTTCTTCGTCGACTTCTTCCTGGCGCGTTTTCTTCGTTACGGCTACTTCTTCGCTAGTAGCCGCTATCCTGATCGCCACTGTTGTGTCCTCCACTTCGGACACGTCGGCTTTTCGTCCTGAGGCGCACACGAGGAATAGAAGAATATTTATTAGCAAATAATAGAGACAGTAAAAATAAAAGAGGCGATGAGTGAATAGTCGAACTGTAGAACTGAACTGAACTGACTAAGACTATGAGTGAGCGCCTTTTATAGCGCTCATTTCCCGCGCACTCTGAGGCTAAGATCGAATGCGCGAGGGCAGATCACTGTGAGGAAAACAGCTGATCATATACGACACTAACACAACAGTTACCTTGGGGTTTATTGGTGTTAATTTTATTGCATTCAAAGAAAAAGCTCATCTTGCAGAGATTATTGTGCCCTAGCGTGTTCCATGTTATCTGCTGCCGTTGCTTCTATTCGCTGCCTTTTGAACTTTCTTAAAACTGGTGCAATTGTTGCAGTTTGATCGAGTCAATCAATATGATAAAGCAAAGGTGTCTGAAATTAGGTTCTCTTGATATCTATGATTTAACTTTGGAAGTGCGGCTGCAGACATATAGACACCCCATACTTATAAAGTCTAGTATAGTAGCTAACGGGGATGCTCCTCAAATTTGGCGTTAGGCTGTGAAAAAGCGAAAATATAATTTTTTTCAGCTAACAACCTTTAATGTAAAAAGTATGTTCTACGAGGCACGCTTATTCATTTACTTTACAGCTCTTTATTCATGATCACCGGAATGCGGAGAAGAGAAAATCATTTTGAATTTTTTATTCTTGCAATATTGTTTCAGGCAGAATGTTGGTTGAAGAGTAAACATGCGCTTATTTCAAAGAAATCTGGAGCTTTTGTATGTACAAGAACGATTTCGCGACCATCCGCAAGCAAACATGTTAGAGAGCTTGAGTAATAAGTGGGCGTTTTTACACCGTGAGATTTCTTCGTTTTACGAGTAAGTAAATCTAAAGAGACAGATTCCTTGATTGTTGCGAATATTGTTGATAATGTCTCGCACATCTTTCAGACTCATCATCGGTGTGGCGAACCTTACAGAGTCAAAAACAGTTGCGGTTAAGAGCAATTTGACAATTTGAAATGGCGCGCATAGCGGAAAATGCTTAAAGTATACAGGCACTTCACTTAGACCATTTGTCTAAACGGGTTTTAACATCTCTAAGAAATGGCAAGAACGCCTGTGATTTTTTCAAAGTACCCTTACAAAAACTTCCATTTATAATTCAATTGCCTGCTAGATAAACTGCGTCAAACTGATATTTTTGATAATGTCTGAGAGCTTTTTTTACAACCTAGGGGCATCAAAAAGAAAACCATCTCTAGTTGCCATCAACTTGACCTCCATTCTGACCACTGATGAGTTCAATGGCTTAAATTATTAATTTTCAGGGAGTTACTCACAAGAGATGTACACAAAAGTTTGTTCACTTTGTCCCAAAGTTTGATCGTTAACTAGCAAAATCGAACATTTCATAAGCAGGGTTGAGCGTGGGGTCAGGCGCGCCCGACCTGGGGGTCGTATTGAGGGTAAGGCTGAAGGAGGGGGGGGGTCGTAATTAAGAATTGAATTTATACATTTGGGGAGATACTACGAAGGTGAAGAAGAAATGCGCTAGTCCGGTGGATATCGCAATCGCCAGTACTGAAGGAATGACGGTCATAAAGACGGTCGATAGCATACAGTCAAAATTCATGCCTGCTAGATAAACTGCGTCAAACTGATATTTTTGATAATGTCTGAGAGCTTTTTTTACAACCTAGGGGCATCAAAAAGAAAACCATCTCTAGTTGCCATCAACTTGACCTCCATTCTGACCACTGATGAGTTCAATGGCTTAAATTATTAATTTTCAGGGAGTTACTCACAAGAGATGTACACAAAAGTTTGTTCACTTTGTCCCAAAGTTTGATCGTTAACTAGCAAAATCGAACATTTCATAAGCAGGGTTGAGCGTGGGGTCAGGCGCGCCCGACCTGGGGGTCGTATTGAGGGTAAGGCTGAAGGAGGGGGGGGGTCGTAATTAAGAATTGAATTTATACATTTGGGGAGATACTACGAAGGTGAAGAAGAAATGCGCTAGTCCGGTGGATATCGCAATCGCCAGTACTGAAGGAATGACGGTCATAAAGACGGTCGATAGCATACAGTCAAAATTCAATCTTCATCTTTCACCTTGCATATCACGAGGTCGACAAGGAAGCTTGCTGTGTGCAATGGGTATCATTTCCGTAATCAGCATGTCAAAATACCTCTATGCGCTCTACAAACCATTGCCTCTGCAGTTTCTAGTATCTCTCAACGTCCAAAAAACATGATCTTCAAACATGATTTACTTGGTTTCAAAAACGAAAAATGTAAGCTTTTCTGTACTTATAACAAAGTAATGTTCACTACAAATCTAAGCTAGAAATCAGGCTTCATTTCGCTTTCAAACAGTGAAGTAAAAAGCGCTGCCAAAATTCCACCTGCACGTTTTTGCATTAAGTGCTTCAACTCCTCGGATTAGCGCAAGGCCGAAACAAATCGAATCAAGCTCAAACACATACTATGGAATCTCCGATGGTCGAGCTAGCGAATCACTTAAAACTTGGGTAGAAAAGCTTCTTCGGAAATAAAGTTAATGGGGTCAGGCGCAACGCCTCAAAGGGTCAGGCGCCTGAGCTTTTGAGGGGTTCCCATTAACTTGCCTTCAGTGCTCAAAAGTATCTCCTTTTTTGATATGAGTATTAAGCGCAAATCCTCTTCTTGCTATATTGAAAATTTGAAGCCAAACACTCCACCCCTATGAAAATTATAGCTCTGAAAAGAGGGCTATCCAGATCCAAAACTTGCCGTCAACTTGCGTGTGGTTGTGCAATCGCAGAAATTCGGGCCTACAGACTTTGAAAAAATAGAAACCTGCAGTGAAGGCTAATCTTCTTCAAAATATAACACCCTGAGCACCTTGAGGTGAAGCGGAGGGGTCGTTTGGGGGCTTTCATAAGGGGGAAGGTGGGCTCGTTTTTGAAGGGCTTGTGCCTGACCTCTTGCTCAACCCTGTTCATAAGGCATACAGTCCACCAGAGGTTTCCAAAATGGAGGACGCACCCACCGCTGGTCATATGTTTCAAGCAATGGTCTGCTTCCGCACTGTCTACGCAAGGTTGTCTCAAATTGTGATCGTTGCAACATTTGCACCGCTGCGATTTGTAGCAGTAATTCATAGGTGTTTTAGCCTATACTTTTTGACTATCAAGCAAGCAATCTCCACTCTAGCCATTGAATTTCCTTGTTGATCAAAGTTATACCAGCACACAGCGTTCTTGATCGTCCGCATTATCCGGATCTATTGGAGACCATGCTAGAAAGTCAACTTTCGTGCCATCAGTCCATATCCACTTAGCTGTCCAGTTACTGTTCAGATAATCAGCTCGTGCCAGACCTATCCAAGTTGCTTGTGGGTAATCACTGATTGGAAATCCAGACTTTGCCAGCTCTGAATTAAAATTATTCCTCCACTTGAACGAAACAAATTAGATTTACCAGCTACAAAAGAGTTCTCTTCAAAGCTGTGAATCGAAGTTAAATGTCCTTTGAAAGTCTTACATATGTTTTCGGCGTCGAGAAAAGTTTCCCAAAAAAAGTTCTGTAACATTATTATTTTATATACAAAGCTAAAGATGTATTGAGTTGTCTTTGAACTACTATGACACTTACAGAAATACAAATATATGGTCGTAGTTCTAGATGTGTATGGTATATGTGTGAATTACTGCGAATTACTTGTATGAGAGGAGCTTACACGCTAGTAGCGGATTTGCTCCTTTACTCTCGTCATTATTTCTTCATTTATAATCGTTGAGGATTTACGAAAATATAAAGCGGAACGTTTAGTCAGTATGCTTAAGCAAAATGGAGATTATGACGATGTTTTGCGACGGAGAAACAATTTCTCATCGTTTTCAACTACTATAGGATCTCAGCTTCATACTTTAGGTGGAGGACGACTTAGGGCAACGCTTGGTAGCTATATTATAGTTGTTTTGCTTTGTCGAAGCTAAGCCGCACTGTAAAGAGTTAAGAAGGCGAGGTTTTGGCAAGTCGAAAAAAATCACGAACAACATAGATTACTGTGTACTTGTTTGTATGTATTAGGAGTCCGGAAAATAATGTCGCATCATGTTGTTTTATCATGCTATATCGCATCGGGGTGCGCACGAAAGTAAGTAAGTGGGATATCAACCGATAGATCCAAGCAACACACAAAATGAAGCTCGAATCTTCGCGCCAACTATGATTTGCGTGCCCAATGTCATTTTTGGAGCCCAGTTTCATAAAGAACAGTCGAGTAGATTTTCCGCTTAGTATAGTGTGCTTGCACAGAAGGTAAAATGCGCTGAAATTTGCTCGTGAATAAATAGCCACGCCAGTACTCCCGGCATTTTGCGCCCGCAATTGGCCGGCATCACAGTCGAAACTAAATGTTTACGCGCAAATTTTACCGCATTTCACCTTTTGTGCAAGTACACTATATTAAGCGGGAGGAAATCTACTGGACTGTACTAAAGATCTAAAAAAACGAAAAGTCATATCTCCGTTGGAAAAGTTCTGGGAACCCCTAATTTTGCTCACGCATGGACTCACTACACGAGGCACTCGTATGCACATTTTCGCGGGTTTTTCCATGGTTGAAAATTGAGAATACGAGATTCGGCATATTTTTTGTCTAAGCAATCCTGTGCTTCTCTCACATGGGTGATTCTGTAGTATGAACCTTTACGAATACAACCATGAATTTCCAGCTTTAGATAAGCGCTAGTTTTTGAGAAAAATCAATTAGTTTTTAATCAAAACGCGACATACATATCCGCCTTTTGACCTATTTTTATTTGTCGTACTATAGCCATAGAAAAATACCACAAATTATATAGGTGCAAATCTAGTGTGGAGAGCACATGCCCCGTGCAAATTGGAGATCTCCAAGACGTCTATGAACGGAGATACGATTTTTCGGGTATCTGGAAATTCGTATATTTCGGATTGTAACTCCAGGTGGAGCAAGATTTCAGCGGGGATATGTAAACTGCCTTGTAGAACTTGCTTTGCTCTACCAAATGATACACCAATCGCTGTTTTTTGTGGTCATTCTGTCGCGGTAGGGTGCCATGCGACATTATTTTCCGGACAACCTAATATGATCTAAATGATAAGTATTTGAACTGAACTAGGCTTATCTTTGCACTCGTACATTTCGGGTTTTAGAGATGTCGTGCATAATTTTAGCTATAGGCTATGGTTATAGGCTACTGGCGCCCGACTAGAAATTGATTCCTCAACTTTTAGCCAGAATTTTTGGGTAAGAATTAAGCGGGCGTGGAGCAAGCGTTAGGCGACAAACGTGCAATATTCTAACAAGCAAAGCCCCTAACTCGCAATGCTGCACAATTTTTTACCCCGTGGAGTCGTAACTGCTTCAATCCCCCACCTTTCTATTAGGTTGTAAAGAAAGTTCTGCCAATTCTTTTCGTAAATACCAAAAATGAATGCGAATACAAAGGGCTGGTTTGAAATGTGTTCTTAGTGTGTCCCTAGCTACCTAACACGCTATTCAGCTCGAAAAAATGACGATCAACTAGAAAGAAATGCCCAAAAAAGGAGAAAAATCCTTTGCGTTGAGGTCTAGGAAAAGGCACATTTTCCAGATTATGGACGCGCAGAACTTCCGGAGGCTTGATTTGAAAATCCGTTTTATATCCTGTGTGTTGGCTAGATGACTCAATATCCAGCAACTACTTGCCCCGGTATTTGGGACTTTTTGCAAGAAAAAACAACTCATTGAAATCGGAGTTCAAAAATCGAACGCCACATGTTTTGAAACGCAGCCAGCGCACTTTTAGAAAAAAAAAGCATCTATGACAACCAGTGGTTTAAGGTTGTCAGTACATATAATCTATGACAATCAGTGGTTTCAGGTTGTCAGTACACATGATCAAAATATCGCTAAATAACAGCCACTCATGATGAAGATATAAATAAAACAATTTAGCTCAGCGTTTATTGGCAGATCTTTCTTCACAACCTAATACTTTGCATTCGTGCCACCTGACAACGGGAGGTCAAAAAATTAAGATTTGTCGCCTAACGCTATACATCCAGTGGGCCGTGGCTATAGTGTCGGACCAAGCCTCAACTGTTTCGAATCCGTCAGTTGGTCGGTGGCTTTTTCGGAGGCCCGAAAGCGGCTGAGACTGTTTCTGTTCTCTTATTGAGTACCTCCCACAAGTCGTTTTTCATATATATCAAAGGCCCAAGTTACACGTAAGGCCTCTTCACGATAGACATGCCCTTCAGTTTTATTTCCGCATCTTCGCAAAAGACGTTCTGCACAAACTAAGTTTTTTTCCGATTTGTTCGCAATCTGATCTTCTTCCCCACTTCGTTTAGTTCGTTAAGCATCGTCTCTGCTTCAGTAATACTGCTCGAAAAGAACGATGTTGCTTATAAACGAAGATTCGACAGGAATCTCCCATCAACTCGTATGCCTCTCTCGTCCCAGTCGAGAAACTTCATCACCCACTGCAAGGCCGCGGTGACCAGCTGCTTCTTTGGGATTGTGTCGCCTTGTTGGACTCCCTCTTCAATTGGGATGGTCAGGGGGCAGTGGAATAGCTGCGTCGTCGTTGTACAGTCCTTGCAGCAGTCAGGAAGCTGGTTTCACTTGTTGATCGACTAGCGCTAACAGGATGGCTTCGTTTCCGACGCTGTCAAAGGCTTTCATTGTCGACGAAGGATAGGACAAGACGTGGTCGGTACTTCAGGCAAACTTGTGTAATTCTTGAAACCGTCTATTTCGGTCCACGCAGCTAAATCTTATGCGAAATTAAGCCTGTTCTTGGGGCTAGACTTCATCCATGTCCTGAATATGCGAGAGAGATTAATTTTCATAAGAAGCTCATAGGGCACACTCAGCAGACGTAATGGAAGTGGTTCCAAAAACTCTCCCGTTCGTCTGAAGAAACGGATGTTATTTCCGGTGGGAATCTTTTACTCGAGTAGAAATGTTAGATGCGACGCGAAAACCTCGTGTAGACGTCGTCCTTCGGTTCGCAGCAGAAGCTTGACGGAAAGATGATCTGGTCCTTTTGGACGTCTTTATGGTCTGAATTGTTACGCGTACTTTAACAAGTAGAATCCGTGGAGTGCTTATTCATCGAAAACGGGACTCGGCACGACTGGCACCGGTTCAAACTGGATATCGTTTTAAGGGCGAAGTCAAAGGAAATATCGTTTTTCCGGGGCCGAGAAGAGCCGCAAGAATGCCATGCCACCGGTATGCTGCCTATCAAACAAACAAAGGCGTTGTTTTCAACCAAAACGCAATAGTATGACACCAAGTTTGGTGTGTGCATGCGCGTTGGGAGACCCGAACTATGGCCCAAAAATTTATAAAAACTTATGTGAATGAAATGCTGAACTTTTTTTGAATTAGCTGGCACCGTACTAGCTGGGTGCCAACTGAGCTGGTACCGACACTTTGCTCACATAAGTTTTCGTACTTTTTTACACAAAACGTACCGTAAAAGTTTACATACAGAGAAGAAACAATTTCATAATGTTTTCTTTTCAGCGTTTTATAGCCACCTGAAAATTACTGGGTCTGCTCCGCAGTCGAAAAATGGTTTTTTTCTGCTTTTCAACCAGGGCCCGGCACGAGTCGGTTTCTAGAGTTTCTGGAAACGAGTCTCCCTTGATTGAAGTTTTACAAACTCCCCTTTGACCTATCTGCTTAAGAGAAGTCGAAAACAAGAAAGATTTACTACTCTTAAAGAAAAAACGTAAGATAAGGCGAAAATCCGCTTGGAGCTGAGTACTACGCATGCACAAGAGCTTGGCATTGAAAGGCGATATTTAACAAAGCGTTTTATGAAGAAATGAAGGCAAAAAACAAAGGAAAGGCGATGATATGAAAATGTCTCATGCTCACTTATAGATTTTTGATCGGGGAATCCGTCCATGATAAAAAAAATCCAAAACTTATGTGAAGTGACAGGAATAGATGCTCCAGACGATCTCAGGTTGTCTGGTGACCGTCTGGAAACGGACTAATTTTGAAAAAAGGTAATACTTCACATGAGTTTCGAAACTTCTTTGCATAATTCTTGTGCAAATAATTTTCTATGTATACATTTCAATTTTGGTGTCATATGCTTCGGTGCGCGCTGTAAACAAGCAATTTGTTTATTTAAGCCTTGCTTTCAAATTGCGCGCACTTTTCGCCATGCACGTTAGAGCATGTCAATCGTGTGATAACTGTTCGAAACGCTTGTGTTCGACTAAATGCGCTTATTCTTGGTGCTCGGTTCCGACTCGTCAAAAACGATACCTCCTTTGCTTTTTTCTTTAAAAACGAAGCCTGCTTCTAGATGATCTGTGCCGAACCCTGTTCTCAACATGCAATTCAACCACTTAAAAAGTTTAAAAAGCTGTGAGAAGTTGTTCCGTGAAATGAGCATTCAGAAAATCCTACTACATGCTTTAACATAATCTAAAAATAGTAGTGGATCTTTGAAACAGGTTAAAGGTGACTTCGTACGAAATTTTCAAGATCAAACAGACTTCGTTTTGAAATAGTTCTGGTGCCAGCTTGCCAAGCCCTAAGCGGAAACAATGGGCATTGGCATGGTTGTTAATGACTGGAAGATGCTGTAAAAGTTCTTCGCGATAGATTCCATTTTGTATCGGGAAGAAGTCGGAGTCCCGTCTTCGTTCAGTAGTGCAGCCAGCGGTACCTGATATTCACGAAGATTCCTTCAAGACTTCTTAAAGCTTAGTCTTCCTTCGGCTGCTTCCAGTATTTCGGCTTGCCTGTATTTCGTGAGGTCCATCTGCAAAGCTGTTCTGCCTGGCGTTAGCTATCAGTAGTCGCTTGAGATGTGCTTTCAGCCTGCCTGAAAAATCCTCTTCTTTCGAGCAATTCCTTGGTGGTCTTTAGAATGCGATCCAAGTTCTTTTCAGAAGTCGTTGAGGCGCACTCAGGCCCCAATCCTTTCAGAAGCCAGTCATAGTCATGCTGGGTCCTCGATGCGTTATCACACAACTTGACCTGAGATCTTCCGGTTTTGAAATCATGAACAAATTTCTTCCTTCTTGCAGCAGTGTGACAGCACTTCTTTTTCAGCTTTCGACTGAATCGTATCTTCACTCGAAGGAGGCGGTGATCGGAGCCAACTGCAGAAGGATGGAACTAGTAAAACATCGAGCAAGCTTTACCCTCAGTTGGTGAGAATGTGGTCGATCTCCACATGAGTTGTTCCGTTTGGGCGATTCCTATGTCCACCGGCGATGTTTTTTCTTCATGAAGATGGAAGCTCCATGAAAAAATTGTGCGGGAGGGGGGATAGAAGCCCTACAAGACGGTTGCCGCTTTCATTCTGGAGCCCTCATCCAAACTTTCCGATCCTATATTCCTTTTCCAGTGGCATCGCGATTTTAGCGTTAAAGTGCCCACAACAAGATTATAGAAAAACCTTGTTGTGCACGACCTCTTTCATGTCTTTGCAGAAAGCATCTTGTTCAGCTCGTAAGTTTTCTAGCCGTGGTGAGATTTCATGCAAATTGAAAAATATGTACGATATATGAGTGGACGACGAAGCCAATGCCTTCAACGTTTTGTGATGGAAACTTCACACTAGTCGCACGTCCATCTTCCTGGGCTTCGTTTCCTGCAGAACGATGACGTGGTACGTGATGTCGCAGCGTCGAGAAGAGCATGGAGATCGGTGTTTTTTTAGACGTCATAACGTTGTAGGTGCAGAACTTGAGGCAGTTTCCATGACGGTAATCCCAGACGTGTTGTTCTATCCAACACGGGATCCTTAAAGACCCTAACATTGTTTTTGCTACCATGTGCCCTTCCCTTCTTTTCGCTGGTAAAGTGATAGGAGATTTTTTTTCTACTAGAACAAGATTAATAGGCCTGCCCTTGATTTCCACAATGCTATCGCTTACCTCGGGTGTGGAAGGGAAACAGCCAAGGTGTCAGAAAAGCCAGACGGGGGCTATCTGGTCTTAAATGTCGGATCCTTTACGAATTGGGCAGCCGTACCAGAGTATAAACTCGGCTATAAACTGCGGGACACGCAGGAGCCCTACGCCAAGCCACGTTGAAGCGTGGGCCACAATGGGGAAAAGGAGAGTTATCTTATTAGAATATCAAACATTTGGGAATGTGACATATGTAATTTCGTTCACCTAGTCACAGTCGGTTTGTATGCCCCAAAATCCAATGAGGTGTGGGACTTTGTTACGCATGCAAAGTTTTTTTCGAAGATATGGTGAGAATGATAGCATTTCATGGTGATTCTCAAAATTTAAAAAAATGCTAATTCACTTTTGTTCAATGCAAAATAGTTCGTAAGTTCAAGAAATGTTTACCTGACGACAAAACAAAATGACGCCTGCGGTCTTGGTACTAGCTGGTGCACTCCACTCTGCTCTTTTTGTCCATACATCACGTAGAGCTTACTATACCGTATCAAGTCTGCGTACTAGTTCGGAGGTTCTACATTCGGAAACAAGGTTTCATTACTTACAAAACCCAAAAAGGAATTGGGAGCACAATAGCGACTCCTAAGTGGTAAAACCATCTGTAGTTATAGATTTCATTTTTACTATTCGTCATGGTGTGTGAGTCCCTTTTTGAAGTAACTACATAGTACAGGGTGCAGCAAAAGTCTGGGAGCCTAATACTTTTTCAGATAACATCAGAAAGAAAGCACTCGAAAACAAAAAAAAATGGTGCACACATAGATCAAACCTCTACAAATACAGCGCAGCTCTCAGATTTTGAGATTGCCTCTTCTACCTTCAAAACAGCCTTTCGAAATCTTAGCGAGTCTGCTTGTCGTGGCACGCAGGTGGTCGTAATGAAGTTGCTCCAACGCCTTCACGATAACTGCTTCCTTCACCAGGCAAATGTGCAATATTATAGAGCAAGCTTTTGGCTACAACATATCACAAGGAAATCTTTTTGCATTACCCAGAAAAAAAATTTGGGATTTTAAGTGAAGGCAAGTGTGCTCGCATACTGGAAATTCGGATGCGGTTGCGTAAACGGGAGCGAGAAAAAAATGATCTAAAAAGCTTTGAAATTTGTCTATCGATCGAACTCAAATACACTCTTTCATAGAATACTCACAGAAAGAATATAGCTCAAAACTCAGCACCTGCTGCTCTTCTATGGCCTTCAAATCTGTTTTAAAGACAAATGGCAACTGGCACGCAGGTAACATTCGCAAATTTTTATTTGCGCTTTCGTAGGAATAGCTTCTAACGAACCCAACTATTACAATATGATAGCGCAAAGCCTCCTCTACATTCTGCGTATCAGAGTGCTGTAGAACATTTGCAGCCTCTTTAGTTACGAAATTAATTTTAGATACTAAAAATTCTGATTTTCTCGCTCTGTAAAAGCACCAATTTGCTAAATCCAATTCTTATAAAAACATGTGAAGAGCATCTTCAGCTAGGTAAAGCGCAATTTGTAGGGAATGATCGTAGCATTATGTGGCACAAATCTGGAATCCAAATTGTTAGGGGCTTCCTGATTTACAACACTGCAAATTCGGCTCCCAGACTTTTGCCGCACCCTGTAATTAGTAATAATTAGTAAATAATGAATAATTATTATCATTATCATTGATTAAGTAATTAATTAAGTATTATTAATAGCTCTTTAGCTCTGTAAAGTGATAGCTTTTTGGATCGAAGGTACAAAAAGAAATAAAATTGGTAGCGTTTGCAAAGTTGTCTAAAATCTAACAGTTGAATGTCTTCGAACTCTCCATTGCGGCATAACTACGTCGTTTAGTGACCATGTAGATTTACCGTAAGTGTACTCAAGTAGCCAAATCAAACTTGTGCTTTCCCTACTGAATGTTGCTGCAGAAAAAAAAGAGAAGATGTGTGATTAAGAAAGAGTGTAATCACTAAAGTTTGGGTGTTGAACAATATAACGTCTACTTTGGTCTGTGGGACCAGCCAATCAATTCTGGACGTGCTCGTACTGGTGCATGATTTCAAAGCAGGATGTGCATAATTTTGCATATATGTTGCATCAATTTGCGACATACCTTATAGCAAGCATCCGTTTCATCGAAATAAGTCCATCCACTTTCGCAAGGTCCAAAATGTGCTGAAAAGCTTGCTTCAAGAGAATACTTACTAGGGAAGGATCTCAAGTTGCAGCTGCAAAATGGGAAACTGATTATCATTACATGCGCCTCGATGAGCTTGGTTCTCTAGAAAGTTATAAGCGGTTAGAGTATGAAGTCAGCGGTGTTCTGAAGTATGATGTGCTTCTAAAACCAGTCAGAAAATGCATACTTAACATGATGTTAAACACTAGAAGGAATGCATATATGCACCGGCAACGTAGATATTGTCTTCGAACAAGTCCTTCTGAAGTTGCGGATTCAATGGTTGGCAAATTCAATCGTTCACGCTGATAACTTTTCTAGGAATTCCGCAGGACATTTGCAAGACAAATTTGGATCCAGTTTATCAAGACACATCTTATAGTACGCATTTCATTGTGGTTCGCCGCTGCAACTTGAGATCCTTCCCTTGTTAGTGAGTGCGAGAAGTTCAGGTATTAGTTAGTCATGCGCAGTCGTTGAATTAATGCAGCGACATGGCCAAATGTCATCTAGGAACGCCCTGAAGCTGTATCAATCTCCCAACTTGACAAGGGAATACACTCAAATCAGTAAGCCATGGAGGTAGACAAATCTGATATCATTTGGAACGTTGATTCCAAATTTGTTCTTTTTAGCTACAAAGCGTTACTTTAAGATGAGTCAGGCGTCCTAATCCTAAGCGCCAATTTGGACCGGCAAGAAAGCCCGATTCTTCCAAAGTGGGCTCCGAATCTCTTGCGAATTCGAATTTACAAATCAATCCAGCATCAAAAAGATCTCTTGCAACGAAAGATTGTCAAGTTTTACTCGTTGATCAGTAAATGAAGTATTCAATTTATCAGCATTTTCGAGCACATAATTAAAGAGATGCTCTTTACGATTACAATAATTAACGCGATAGGTAGGTCAAAACGCATTGCTGACCTACTTTCCATAGTTAATAAAATTTTAAAACTTGTTGATTAAAAGACCGGGTTCTGAATGAATTTTGAAAACTCGTATTATTGAAAGGGGTCTCGAATAGATTTCAAAAACCCCGCAATAGTCCACATGGCAAACGTCTGAAGCATTTACTCTGTTGGGAAAGCGAGATCTGCTTAATACGTGCGTAATTTTACTACAAATTTCGTATGAGATGAAAAGAAAAAAAATTCATTTTCGGTAGACTGTTCAAATCCAGCGAACTTTAGCGACTGGAAGGAGGAGTGGTAAATTAAACTTAGGAAATCCCTTCATCCTGTCAAAGACATTCTTTTGCAGTGTGGTTTGATTTCGGAGACTTACCATCGTTCGGTGTTTCAATATTATGTGGCATCCTAAGCTATTCTCTTTTACGAATCTGTCAATGCCGTGCTGGTAGTTCATAGTGCTGTACACATACACACATATACCCGTATTATACATACACATAAACACACATATATACACACATACACACACCCACACGAGAGCTCATATAATGTTTTTTGAGCGTCAAATTAGCGTAAAAGATGTATACGCTACTGCATGACGAAGACGTGATATCTTTAGGCGCGAAGGCGGTTTTATTAGCAGCAGAGCGCATGAGGCGCAAAATTTATGGCGACTTCTGCGCCTTCGTCATGCAGTGGCGTTTAACTTCTTGTACAACGAAGTTTTTTCATAATTTCATTGCGTATGAATAATCATGCGAATTTCAAGCCACTGCAGGCCTAATATCATGTGAAAAATTTCTGCAAACCTTTTGGGACTTGCTAGCGACACTTTAGTACTATTGCTAAGCGCAACATTACGTAGTCTAGTGCCTGAAAATATCGTTCTCTAAGGTTGGCTTTTTTTTCGCAAATTGCAAATCCTCTTCTGTTTGCAGAAAACAAAAGCGTCAATTGGAGACCAAGATTAGAACGATCAATGGATCTTATTTGCTAATAATGCTCTCTCAGACCGAAAACCTATGCATCATTTTACAATAATTTCAACACTTACTCCCTATTTATCAGCATAAAAAGGTCAGAAATTTTGAGCAAAATGTGACCCAATACTGAGCATGAAAAACGTCAAAGGCAAAACCGGCTTATGTGCGATGTGAGAAAAGGTCCCTTTCAACTAAAACAAACATCAAATCCGCTTGAAATGCGACTTTTCAAGTCTCAAAACTTTTAAAACCTGCTCTTCTAACCCTTCTGTTCCCCTTTCACCCGCGCGAGCGATCTCACACATATTGTGGCAGCCACTTTCAAGTGGCAACTGCAAGCCACTTATCCGTCTTTGACAAATGTTCCACGTAGTACAACACCAGATAAGCGCCAAAGCACACGCTTTGGCGTCCGCGCTTTTCAAAGTACTGTCTCCAAAACGGGGGGTTTTTGAGGCCCGAAGGAGTTAGGAGAGCAGTCTTCAAAAAAGTTTTGAGGCTCTGGAAGTCGCATTTTTTAAGCGGTTCTGATGATTTGCACTAGTTGAGGCGGGACCTGTATGAACATCTCACATAAGCCGATTTGCCTGGACGTTGCCTCTAAGGGTAGTTTGAGTAAGTAATCACATGTTTGCCCTGACAGCATGAGCATATTGAACTCTGTGCATGTTTTTTAAAAAGTTTGAAAAGCGTTTCATAGTCTTCTTCGTCCCACATACTCCCGCATATAAGGCCCGGTAGTGGTAATATGTTGTTTATTTTTTTGGGTTAAGTTTACAAGTGGGTAAGAAACCGCAACCTATCAAGAACTGCTCGGGAACGATGCTCGTTAGTAACTCGCTTGCTCCTTGTTGTCTCTGGTCTATCGTGTGTGTTTAGCTTTCAACACAAAAAGCTCTCGTTTGGAACTTGTTGAGAGACTATCACTGAAAATATTTGAAAAGCGTGAAAGCATCGTAATAGTCTCTTGGAGATTGGCAGCTTGCAGTCTCAGCATTCCATCGACACTTTTCAACGCGTATTTTTGAAAATCCAACCAGCATACTTTAGAATGTATCGAAAAGGTACTGCTTACCTGTATTAGAAAGGTTGCGATGAAGGCGACCAGTAGATTGGTCCTTGCTTCTACAAATTCACCATTAGCAAACAAGTTTTGTTATTCTAAGGCAAACCTGAAGACTCGCATACTGCTGTTTGAGTACAGCCAGGCTTCTGCCAATGGAAGTATTGCAAAGAGCAGGAACTTCATTGAACGCTTTCTAGATATTAAAATATATATCTATTGTGTACTTATCCAGAAGTATGCGATAAGGTGAGCTCAAGAAGTTCTTTCATCGCAGGCTGGAAACAGAATGTAAATTGAAAAGCATTTTCTCCGTCTCAGCTGACCCAGGACGGTTAGTGCATGTCTAATATTTGAATGGCAACTTGGCAGAACCCTCTAGAGTCTTGCGCTTCTTCGTTCGTTTTCGTTTTAGTTCCACGTAAATTATCCTTATAAGCAAGACGCTTCTAATTGGGTACGTTATCTAACAATAGCAAACTCAAACCCAATGTAATAAAGATTTACATCTTCTTTTTACATTATTCCAAAGTCTCTGAAGCGAGTGACACCTAGTCGAAATGAACTACCCTCGTCACCAAATATCACGTCCTCAAATTATTGCAAATCATTCCTCACCGTAATTTCGTCATGGACAAACTTTACACTTTAGATTAAGCTCCTTATTTTAAATCATAATGTATATTCGCAGACCTCCCATTTTTTTGTTCATCAATTATCAATTATCAATTGCATTGTGCTGACATCTCAATTTTTGCCGGGAGAAACAAGGCGATTGCCCGGAGGGGAAGTAATGCAGTAATGTGCGAGATATACGCAACATAAATACAGAGTAATTGCAAAGTGATTATTGTCCCTCATGGGCGCGCCTAAAGATAAAGCGGGGAGCTTCGGGAGATCCTGCACGCTCTCCAACTGAATTGATTCTCTTACTAACGAAAATGTCGGTTGAAGCAAGGGCGTAACTGATAACGAAGCTTCATTCAAATATTTCCATTAGGTTGGCATGCATAATTATTGTGTGCACGTACAATTGCTGTGCTTTCGTGGCTAAAAAACGAGAAGGACGAGATTGCATGCACATGCCAGAATATTTTCAAGCTGTCTTAACTTCAGCATCTCTATAGTACAAATGCGGAGCAAGAAAAATTTCTAGCCACACTGGAGCTCAAAACAAATAGCTTCGAAGACGTTTAGACAACGAAATATGATTTGAAGCTGAATTCTGTACTCAGAAATAGGCTTACAGTACCATCAGGAATGGAAGTCACGTTACTGATACATTGTAGTGTTATTTGCAAATTCAAAGTCAGTGAGTGGGAGTGGCTAATTCGAAATGTTCGAATAATGAGATAACTCTGATATAGAATGGATTATGGGAAGTTATGATAAAGGCTTCTCAAAAGTAATGACAGCGGAGCTAAATGAATTCTTTTTGCACCTTGAGCGCTTTCTAAGCACGCTAAGCTCTTAAAAAGCACTGATAGGTAGCCTGCAGCCAAGCTTTGCCCACTTGTAGTTTTAAAGTCGTTAAATTGCTGGGTTTGAGGTGTACAGGGTGCGCCAAAATTACCGGCGCCAACATTACAAACATTGCCACGAAGGAACCACTAAGAAACACAAGCTCAAATTTGTGTCATAGAATGCAGTAATCGATATCTACAAAATACATTGTATTGAATTCAAAAAGACCGCTTTTCAAGAACTTGAGAATTGAAAAAATCAGACCAGTATTTCCAAGAAAGGCAAGAATGAAATTTTTAAACCTTTATAGTTTGCTCTTTAACTGAATAAACTCAAAGCCTTTCTGGACCCTTCCAAGCTGAGGTTGTAGAGCACAATCTGCATTATGACATAGATCTATTTGCATTTGCGAAACTTGTTCCTTCACGAAACAAGAAAATGTGTTTGCGAAAAATACCTGCGTACGAGCCATGATCTTACGTTCAAAATCGATTATTAGGCCCCAGATGTGCAAAACCTTTCAGGTAAACACAGTCTCCTATTTGAGAGACATGTAGAAGAGCATCTAGATAAAAGCGACTAGCTGAGATAGTTTTGAACATGATTTAGAAAACATTTTCTGATCCTTAGTCGCACTCAGGTAGGCAAAAATTACACTAAGTTCTGATATGCTGCCTCTCAACCATGTTTTTGAAAAACCAGAAATTCTCTTCGGATTGATTTTCAAATTTCTATACTTAGCTGTGTTAGAGGCGAAGGCTGGCTTTACTTTCGTGCGCAATTACAAAGCAAGAGAAGATGTTATCGAAAAAATGTTGTATAAATTCTCAAAGTCGTGCTCGCGTACAGAGTGTGCTTCGGTCGGCGAGAGGAATTGGGATTTTTCGAAAGATAAAGCAATTGCTGATTTAGTTATTGCATTACGATAGTGATGGTTGGTGAAAACAAATGCATATTTGATCAGTCCACAAGCTTGTCTAGTATTCTTCTGGCACCCGATAAAAGAGGCGCCGGTAATTTTGGCGCACCCTGTTTATCGAAGAAAATTGTATTGACTACAAAAAAAGGAAAAAGAAAGACAAGAAGTTTCCAATTTGAAACATCAATTAGTGGCATCCTACATGGCATTTACTTCTCAGGTTTTACATAGGCTTCTATAACCCTGGCAAAATGTCAAGATGCGCGCCACTCGAACAAGAGTTTACGAAACAAAGTCAAAATGCTTTCCCAAGATCGCTTGATTTTCTATTTCCATATCTCTCCCGTTGTCTGGTAGATGGCAACGGGGTGAATCGGAAGGCAGACTTTGCGTTCTTCCGAAAAACCGTAATGAAGAATAGGAAGTTAAGAGTTTTCAAGCATAGAGCAGCACAATTTTTAAGGCAAAGTAGTTTCATTCTAAAACTTCCATAGTCATACATTTTCAAATATCCTCTGTAAGTCAGAAATAGAACGCTTTCTAAAGGGGTTAACTTTTCAAAATCCTCAACCGCCCTTTCTTCCAGAAAATTTGTGGTCATCTGCCTGAAAAAAATTCTGGGATTGATGCAGTGTTGGTGAACACTGCTCCTCTGGATCCGTTTTTATTGATATAAAATACCATAGGTCACAATTTTACACAGCAACAACTTTACTCTTTCACTTACAAATATGATAACTAAAAACTAATAAGTGAAACTTCTTGGTTATCGATAAGACCCACATTTTGATCGTGATCGAAAATCTAGTATGTATCCTTCAATCATTCCTCGCGGCGCAGCACAAAATTTGAAAATAAGTATTCTCTGAGAGCGCCTGTCGAAATTTTGTGCTTATTCAATGCAAATGGCTACTCTTACAAAGTATTCTTACTCAACCAACTAAGAGCCAAAAAATGTACTAAATCTTGTTGCTAAATTATCTGAGTCCGATAAATGTGAATTTGAATCAATAATGCTTCCAAATCATCAGGTTTTCTCATAATATCGAATATCACAGCGTCAAGTTAATTCATAAGTTCGCAGTGTTTTCATTTTTGTTCACCTAATTCAAGAATGCGATTTCCGACTGCAAATATCATCAGAAAAATAATGCTCTTTATTAATTTTGATGTGAAGCTAGTCTACTTAAACTTTTATCCTTCTATTAGGGTGATCGGTAAATTTGTTCTCACCAACAACAAGCAGGCTGCAACTCAAACGTCACTTACATGACCGACCTTCGCCTATTATTCTGGCAACGCGTTACCGCTCCTCTCTCATAACGTACACGTGGCGCCGTGAAGACAGTTCTCAATCTTGCGTTGCTATACCGTAAGGTCATAAGGCAATTGACATACCATTCGAAAGAGCTCTTCATGCTCTTTCAAAAAATATATTAAACTTACAGGCTCTCTTTCTATTTCTGAATAAAAAGGGAAATACCTGAAAAATTGCGATTTTTTGGCGCAATAAAAAAACCAGAAAATCATGTTTTGTCTTATATTTTCCGAAGATAGATGAAATCTGAAGTGATTTGCATATGGATGGATAGAGCGTAAAAAGTTCTATCAGATGGTGCCTAAAAACTTGCGTTTACCTGCAAAGAATTGAATAGCGCGTGTCTTTGTCCTCAAAGCTGCTAATGGCCATATCTCCTAACTTTGAAAGTTGAGGGTTGGATTCGTCGTGGGTTCAGTGACTGTCCCACCACTCCAGCAGTAATAAATTGGGTGGTCTCACATGTTTCACTGCCCAGATACTGCCCAAAATTTATAATTTGTCAAGGTGACTAACTTTGCATTTCAGTCGCTATAAAAATCATTACTTATGTAGATGACTTTATATAGGTATTTTCTGAAAGAGAATAATTTATTCTAACATCTATCAAAGTTGGGAAGTTTAACCACTTTCCTTTTTTGAAAAATCTACAGTTATTTTTTAAGTGCCCCATTTTTTACCTATCACCCTAATAAAAATGAAATTCTTAAAGGATTTTTGGCGCCTTCTCATTTGCTTACAAAAAGAAGCGTTCATGGGACAGATTCGTAGGTTAGGTGTTTGCATGCAATAGAGGCACTGAAAGATTGGCTTGCACTATGAGACCAAACATTAGTCAGCTTGTGCCTTGGACAAGTAATATAGTTCTTCGTAGAATTGGCAGGGCATTCTGAAATAGCCGAGTAAGGGCACACAGAGGCAACCATGGTCTGTATGCGATCAAGCTGCACCATTTAAACGGAACGTATTGCAGATATAGCTCATTAGACAAGTGAATTTTTCTGCGTGACAAAGCCTGACAGCAGCAAATCCTGCAAAACTTTTGGAAGGTGCATGGCTCCGATTCGCTTCAGCATGTGTCCCGTCCTCTTCAAATCACATAAACTATGCTTGCTTTGATTTTGTAAAATTCTAGGAGGTGGTTAAATTCTGAGACATGGGCACAATCTGATACAGTAGCCGTAATCTTTTTCGCTGACATCAATAGCTAAAGTCAGAAAACAGACTTTTTTCATAAAACGAACCACGAGATTACTAACGGTAAGAAGCTATAATCTCTAAACACAATCGTGACAAACCACAAGATCTTTTATCAGCTATGTCGACTGTTCATGTAATTGCAAAAACTTTGCTTTTAGATAAGCGCTGAAACGATTTTCAAGTTGTCGAAGCCAAAAAAATTTGATGACGGCGCACTTTTTGCAAGTAGGAACAAAATTCCTGCAATCAATGCATTTTTGATGTCCATTTTATTTAGCATATCATTTTTGATGTCCA